AATAATAATAATAATAATAATAATAATAATAGTAATAATAATAATAATAATAATAACAATGGTGATAATAAATAAAATAATAATAATAATAATAATAATGATAATAAAATAATAATAATAATAATGATAATAAAACAATAATAATAATAATAATAATAGCAATAATATTAAGAATAATAATAATAAATAAAATCCGACAATATCACTTTCACTCTATGATGTCACTTCAGTTTGATGCTTTCACCATGCAATTATTTCATTTAATAATCGAATTAAATTCAAGAAATGGGCCGAATTACAGTAACACGCAGTAATAAGTAAGACTAGGAAATATTTTTAAAATTTATAACATGTTTGTATTAAATCTTACTTTGTTTTATAACTCTTTTTCATGAGAATATATCGGAAGTGATTTAAATTCAAATAGACTAATAAAAAAGTCTTCAACGCATGGTACAGCTCATATATACTGATTTATGATACCATAATAAAATATGTGTACATATACTAAATCCACTTCAAATCTTTTGGGTATGTGACCATTCATTTCGATTATTCTAATTAATTAACTCAAACATACAATCATTCATTTCGCTTTCCATAATTAAAATAAATCAGTTGTAAAGACATTAATTTCAGATATTAGAAATCGGATAATTCAGTTATACGATCATTGTTTTCAAATATTTTGATTCGAATAAATGTGACATGTGACACGATATTGTTTATATAATGAATACAATAAAGATAACATAAAAATTGTGAGAAATGAAAATATCGTTTAGATGTTCCAAAGGTGATTTGATTAAATGTATGATTTGTTAAAGACAAGAAAACCTTGTTTGAAAATAAAAATTTTAAAATATTATCTAACATTTATTTCATTATTTCAATAAATCCGTGAAATGATAAGAATTTCATTTGAAATTTAAATTGTTCAATCAGGTGTTTTAAAGGTAATTTGATTAAATTATATGATTTGCATTCTTACAAATAATCGTTTTGGTAGCAATTATGATTTTAACCGAATCGGAAAATAAGTGAGTTTTCATGTCGAATTTTTGAATAAAATATTTAAAAATCAAACAATTTTGAGAGGATAATTTTTATTTCAGAATTTGTTATTCTTTTCCATCATTTCAAAATTGTCACATATAGGTTACAATCAACGCCTATCATTTTCTATCATTTTTTTTTCCTGAATATCGAAATTCTGTGATATCAGTTTCCCGGAAGGAAAAATTTCACTGATTCATTTTTACATTTTCTACAACCTTACTAAGATTTGGTATTATTAATTGATAAGCTATAAAAATGCTACATTTGATTTCACTAATTATTTTTGTAAAAATTAATTTAATATTTAACAATTTAAGCGTCCCGGATATACGTTATCTTTACGTATTATGATTACGTGTACGTACGTATGTATGTTTCAAAGTTAATTTGTTCATTTGATACGCATTCATATCCCATCGATATGGGGAAAAATGTATGGTAAAATTGTCGAAATTTGATGCTATAAATTGTAATATATAAAATTAACGAAAATAAGAAATGAATAAGTTTTGGAATTTTCTAAATTTTCAAAAGAAAAAAGAATGGCTAAGGATTTAGCATTTTAAAGCATAACTAATCAGAGTAATAACATATCAATAAATGTAACTTATCAGATTAACAATCGATTATTGCTTCACTGATAATCCTATTACAGATTAAGAATCGACCACTGTTTCACTGATAATCAATTCCATTTATTATTTCCACAGCGAAAAAATTTTCCATTTTTCTTTTCGAGATTTTTTTTTTGAACATTTGTTAAAATACGAAATTAGAAATCGTTTTTACTGTTAGCAATAATTTCCTCACAACATTCCATAATTTGCTTCCTATTATTTAATTTAATTTTTAAACCAATCAAACAGTTTGCTAATAAATTATTTGTTTATCCTTTCATAACAAAAAAAAAAAGAAATTAATACATAAAATAATAAAATGAAATTTAAATTTCGAATTTGATGGAAGAATTTTCGTTTGATATGAAATTTCATAATCGGTTTTCTCTTTTTTCTTTTTTCTGAACTATCTCTATTGAATATATACAATATTTATCGTATCATTTCTTCTTTCCTATCAATTTCAATTATTTTTTTCCCCCTAAAAAGTTAATTATTTAGGTAAATTTGAAAATGAAAAAATATTATAAATAAAAAAAAAGGAAAAAAAGTTGAAAGGAAGCCATTCTTTAATGACATTTTTTTTCTCGTTTTTCTTTTTTTTCTTTAAATTGTAATGATTTATTTTAAAAGGATCGTTTTTATTTGAAAAAATTTTGCATATTAAATATTTTTTGAAAAAATTTATGTATTAAAAAAAAGCACAAAAACGTTTTTTCCTTAAATTTTAATTAATATATTACAATATTTTTAATTATTTTAAGATATTAAAAATAAAGTAATTTCTTTAATTAATGATTGAAAAAGAAAATTATTTTCATTTGTAAAACTTTCATTATTCACCTGTTATTAAGTTGTAATTGTGCATGAAATACTTTCCCAAGTTTCATCTCTTTAATATATTTCTCTTCGTTGACACATTCCAGGAACCATTTACAAAGATTGGAAAATGCGAAAAGGATGCATAATAATATATTAATGATAATGACAATTATATAACATAAATGTATTAATTTTAAACCATCTTTCATACGTGGCATCTGTAATTTTAATTAATTAAACAAATTTCAAAAATTAATACCTTATGAAATTAAGTTAAAATGTATAAATTCATTTTTGCTTTTAAAATTGTTATTAATGTTGTTTTGTTTTTGTTTTTTTTTTTTTATTAAAAAAGAGTCACCCAGTAGTAAGTATTAAAATTATTGAAATTAGTATTAAATTGTTATTAGAATTATTCATTGTTTCTATTATTAAAAGTATGAGATTTATAATCTCATAAAATACCGTAATTAAAAACAAACAGGAAAGTAAACAAATATAATTATACGAGTATTTAAGTGAAGTAATAAGTCGGATAAAAAAATTGCATAATTATCGCTACGGACAAATAAATAAATGTTTGAATAAGCTATTAAACAAATAAATATTTAATTATACAAGTATTTAAGTAAGCAGGAAACTAATTATGTAATCATTATCATATCTTACCAATGCACTACATTGTGCAATATTATTCGACATTTCTGATGTCATATGATTTTTACAATTCTCCCTGAAATAAAATTATTTAAAATGAAAAAGAAAAAAAAATTCAATCGAATAAGAAAATATGGTAATTTCATTTTACCTATTAATCATCTCACCTATCTTACCTGTTATTATCATCCGGATACAATGAATTGTATGCGAATGATCAGCTGATAAGTTAAAAAAATATTTTTTGCGAATCATTATTATCACTAATTAATCAACGGTATTAATTAATTTGTTAGGTTTTGATCAATATCAATTAATTTGATTTAAATTTCTTCTGTTGTATTTCACTTCTTTTTCTTTGTTTTTAACTGATTTGAAACTTTTGTAATCTTTAATTTTATATTAATTATCGTAACAACAATTCCAACAAGATATGAAATTATTTCGTTTTATTTCAATTCATTTTTTTTTTAAATCAATGAATAATTGATGAGAACGAGAAAAAAAAAAAGAAAACTGAAATACCATTTAACAGTATTTCAATCACATATAAAATCATTTCATTTTATTTTAAATTAACTTTTTTCTTAAAATAAATTCATTTCAGATTAATGGATAATTAATACTGAAAAATGAAAAAAAAGAAAACTGAAATACCAATTGACAATATTTCAATCACTTATGAAATCATTTCATTTTATTTCAAATTAATTTTTTTCTTAAAAAAAAAATTCATTTCAGATTAACGAATAATTGACAGAATGGAAAAAAAAGAAAACTGAAATACCGTTTTTCATTTATATAATATTTAATACTTCTTTCAGTGATATTTGTCGAATAAACATATGAAACAATTGAATGTTTTGCAAATTGTTGCCAAGCCAATGCATTATTATTTACTGCGCAACAATTGTATTGTTTCTTAAATATTTCCATTTATAAATTTCAAAAAATGTCACCAATTTGTCGCATGTTTCATTTTATGTTTTATATTGCAAAATTTAAATGAAATCGACTTTGTTTAATTTAAATTCATTTCAATTTAATACAATTTGCTTTGATCTAAAATTAAACCAATTTTAAGCATATTTACATTTCAAAAAACTGATCAGTAATTAAATACAGATTGTGTAAAAAACGTTTATGGGCTAAAAAAAAGAAAAAACAAAAACAAAAGCGATAGATTATTGGTAAATTAATTTTGGAACATATATTTTTGTTCATTTATATTTCATCCTTGCTATTATCATTAAATATATTAGGTTATTATTCAGATTAATTTTCAGCTACCATTTAAATTAATCAGACTAATTTGTAAAATTATCTTAAATCTCGTGATTTTGCAAATTACACTAATTAGCTGTAATTTTGATATCTAAAATTATATCAAATTTATGGTGAATAATATTAATCAAATCTGTAGTTTTTTAAGACATTTAATTAAAAAAAACGGAAAAAATTTTTTTCTTTTTCAAAATTAAAAAATATAATTTTCATAAACTTTCAAACCTTTTTCATACCTCAAATAATGAAATTAATTGTATTTCATTTTCTGTTACTCTTTCCATCTCATATGATGCTATTACAAGCCATGCATTTAAAAAATCATCCATCATTGTGAAATTACTAGTTGTAAACTAAATTTGAATAAAATAAAAAAATTTTGCAAAAAAAGAGATGACATAAAAATAAAAAAAAAAAGAAATGAAGATGACAAACTTTAATAAACAGAAATGCTTATTTTATTATTTGCCAACTTTTTATTCATTTCCTATTTGATTATTAATTGTTTTTCATTGTCCTAAATTATTTTATTTCACTAAAATATTAAAAAATATAATAAGTGAAAAGCAATGATTTTAAGTATCGAAATATTATTAAACTTACAATTGGAACTTGATATTGACTATGAAGTAAAGAGGGAAGAGTAAATAGTATTGATATGAGAAGTATTATGAGGTGTAAAAAACATAAAGTATATCGTTTATACCTTAAAAAAAAAAAAAAAAATTTAGTATATTC